CCTCTCTTCACCCTCGGGCAGGGGAATCCGAACATCTGGTAGGAGCGGGGGGAGGCCGTGATCTTCTGGTTTGAACTCCTTCGGGTCTACGCCAAGGTGGCGGGCAAGCCTCCGGTACAACATGGCCTGCGTGAAGTACTGCCCGCCTTCGTAGAAGCTTTTGCCCTTTAGGGCGAGCCACATTGCACCGGGGCCCTTGACCCAACTATCTACCGAGGTTTCTACCACGGAAGCCCTCCATTGCTCCCGGCCCTCGGATTTCCACCCCTCCGCAAGGAAGAGGGCAACAGCATCTTCTTTGGCCTTGGCAACAGCCTCAGCCTTAACTTCCTCAGCCCTCTCAGCGGCTATCCTGGCGGCCTCAGCGGCGGATCTCTCGGCTTCGGCTTTCCCCTCGGCCCGGGCTTCCTCCTTGGCTGCCTCCAGCTTCTGTTCGGCTTGCCGAAGGGCTTCCTCCAGACTGGCCAGCTGCCGAATGGCCTCAGTATTATTGGCCACCAGCTTCCTCGTGACCTCATCGGATTGGGCCTTCTCGAGGCGGTGCTGTTCAGCCCTCCTCACGAGCTCCCCGAAGGCCAAACTAGCCTGCAAGCACATAAGGGTGCACCTGGGATCAGACTACGCAAAGGAAAGGGAGCGCGATAAAAAGAAATTTCAAGGTCCGAAATACTTACAGTAGCCGAGGCCTGAAGGGCCTTGTGCTCGAGGGCTTCGTCCCCGAATCGGCCGAGGGTGGTCCGATCCAGGGGGGAGTGGCGCCCCTCAAGAATTCCCTCGGGTCGAGGGTGCCATGTAAGATAGCAGTCCCCTTCTTAATGGGGAACTGCACCTTCTCAAGGGGCCAAGCCCCTTCATCCAAGTCCGCCAGGGGCAGGGAGCCCGAGGGCTTGTCGGAAGGATGGTCGTCGATGATCACTACTGGGGGAGCCTTCTGTTCGGCATCCCCCCTCCTCTGTTTCTTCTCCGGGAGCGTGGTCCCCTTCCCGGTATTTTTTCTTTTGAGCTCCGGGACGTGGGAGCCTTCAGTAACAACACCAGCACCGGCATCCTTCGAGGGCCCCTCGCCCTCAGGTTTCTTTTTGGCATCCGGCTTCTGGAGAAATTCCTCCACAGCTCTCTGATTGGAAGGCCCCTCAGCCTTCTTCTTCTTCTCTTTGGCCAGCTTATTGGAAAGTCTGGCGAATGCTTTCGGGTCCATAATGTCGCCTGCCAAAACAAGGAAAGGGTTAGAATCACAACGAATCAAAGAAAATATGCCAAGTACAAAAACGAGGGCCCTCGGGAACAACCTCCGGCATTTCGATACCCTCGGTCAATCTCGGGGTATTTTTCGTCCGTCTCCCCCGGAAGGCGGTAACGCCGGAAGCCCAGCAAGTACAGCTCCTCAGGGAGCGTCGCCTCCTTGATGGTGATTACTTTGTCGGAACCCGGAGGCTTCTCGATGAGCTTCTTCCCAGCCTTGTCGAGGACTGCATTGCCCACCTTCGGGTGCCTCTTAAAATGATTGCGCAGGGCCCCCGGGAATGGGTTCTCGGCCACCCGGATGTAGCAGAACTTCTCTTTCCACTCTTTGTGGGATGAGGGGGTCTCGGAGAAGAGTTTCCACGCCGGAACCTGCTGGAGATTCGCATAGCCCCCGGCATGCGAATGCCCTCCCCGACACAAGTTGAAGGAGAGAAAGAACTGGTCTAAAGTGGCCTCCACCTTCCGGCTCCGGCAGAGAGATAGGAACCCCGCCAGGTAATAGTGGCTGTTCGGGGTGAGCTGGCAGGGGGCCAGTTTCACGTATCTCAGGTACTCCAGGACGAAGGGATGGAGCGGGAATCTGAGCCCAAGCTCCACCGACAACATATGCACTGAGAAACACCCCTCAGGCGGGTGGGAAAGCAAGGCATCAGGCCCCGGCTCCACCACCTGCGCCGAAGGCCCCACCAGGATCTGGAGAGCATTATAATCAGCACTCGTAGCCGTGGTCTTCACCTCGAGGGCAGTGGTGTCCAGATAGGAGTGGCCCTCGGGAATCCCAACTGGCCGTCCCGCGTCGACGGCTGCTTGCTTCTTCTTTGGGGCAGCCCTCGCCTTCTTCTTCTTTCTGCCCTCGGCTACCCGAAGGGGTTGGACATCTAACGGCCGAGAGGTGCTCGCCTCACCAAGTCCCCGTGAGGGCATGACGGCAACCGTTACCCGACGGCGCTCCTTCTCCTCCTCCTCTTCAGCCACTTGGAGGGCGATGGCCATCTCTTCATCCTCCGCCACTTGCTCAAATTCCTCTGCCTCCATTTCTACCCGGAGGCTACTCTGTACCTCCTCAGCCACGGCAAGATCGTTGTCCATCGACGGCTGCTCACTCGAGGACTCCACATCCGAGTAGCTCTCCTTCTGCACCGACGGCTCCCTCGAGATATCTTGGGAATCGCTTTGTGAGGACATAATTCCGGAGGAAGGATAGGAGTTTGGTAGAGAGAGGCTACTTAAATGTTCTAACCGAGGGCTCCTAAGACCTCTAACACAAGATCTAAGGGAGAAAAGCAAAGTATGCTAGGAAAGCGAAGAACAAGGAAGAACTGACCTCAAGGAATCGAATTCGATCGAAGGTGATTGCTTATCTCTCTAGAAAATTGGCCAGAGCTTCGCTAGAACAATGAAACGCACAACGAAAATAGCACGGAGCGTTGGGGTATTTATAGGCTCGTTGCCTCGATACATGGGCCTCGATTTGAAAAGCCCATCATTACGGGCCGCCGGTTCGACCAATGGATGACTGCCGCTCCCTTCAGCCAGTGAGGAGACGCCACGTCAACCCTTCTTCCAACGGCTATATTACAACGACTATATTCCGGTTACACTAGGGGTGCCCCCGAGTGGTAGCCTCCGGCTATCGCTCACCACACCTTTCTGCCGGCAAATTTCATCAAACTCCTTCGAGCCTGCGACAGCATAAGCCCCCGACTTGTCAGAACTATCACCCCTCGAGTTCTCATCGACTTATTATAACTCCTTCAGCCCGAACTTGCCTTCGGCCTAAAGGAGTGGGGGACTGGGATACACCCCTCGGGGATCATACACAACAAAAATTTCTTCATACGCATACGGCCTCCGGGCAAACATCACAATACATGCGAAAAATACATCTATGCTTCCCTTAGAGAACCCTCGACATGTGAGGGACTGAGGGGAGCCCCCGGCAAACATACGAAGGTCATGAATACCTTCCTTCAGAAAACCCTCGACCTGTGAGGGACTGAGGGAAGCCTTCGGCAAATTAGCAGAAAACAAGTTCCCCAGCAAAAGCACCCAGCGAAATGGTGAAGCCTCCGGAAGAAGCAACACATCTACTCCTTTTCCCTCAAGTACCTTTCGGCAAAAGGAGTGAGGGACTCCTGATGGAGTATATGGCCCAGGAACCCCCGGCCCATAGACTCCTACTTCTCCTACACAAGTCCATTGAGCCCAAGAAACAACTCAGGCCCAAATACAACGGGCCAAGCCTCAAAGTAGCCCAGAATACACACTGGGGTGCCTTCGGCCTCGTTGGCCGAAGGCTCCAAAACTCACAGGATAGCCTTCTCTGGCATAAGAAGCTGCTGGGAGAAAAACGGGCGAAGACATGAGCCTTCGGCATTCTCATGCCCTCGGCACCAGGGGAAGCCTTCGGCTGAACCAAGCCCTCGGCTACACAATCAGCCCTCGACTACAAAGGGAGCCCTCGGCTACACGAGGAGCCTTCGACTACAAAAGCTCAATCATCGAAGATTCCTTTTAGAGACAGCCAACCACCGCATTTAATGCCACGTCACATCCACCAACCGCAATCAATGCAGTGGGCGTACCCCTGCCGGCGCCAACCGGCCGATGTGACCCTTCGGCCGTTGGATTACTGACACGTGTCCTCTGATCGCATTTATTGCTGCTATAAATAGCAGCCCTTATTCTCCTTGTAAACCAGGCTGAGTTCATTTTAATAAAATCGACTCTCTCTCCTCCTATTCACTCTGACTTCTCTCTAGGTTATTCCCGCAATAACCCCTCGGATAAGATACCCCCCGGGTAGATTGTCCATCAAGGGTGATAGTACATTATGATTTGTAACCCTAGTTACCCCGTTTAAAAATATACTTACTTAATATAAAAGTCAAGTAGTCGGCCCGTGGGCCCATGTTTATTTGGAAATCACCATTCCCAACCCCGTGACTATAAGCCACGACAACTCCTAGAGTCCAACCCTAGTACATGACATTGTATTCTAGATCTCGGCTCTACCACATCACCATACAATTCATATACCTCGGGTCAATCTCCCTACCTTGCGTTCTAGAGCTCGGCTCTATCACATCACCACGCAAGTCCTAGAGCTCGGCTCTAGCTATACAATACATAGACTCCAAGTCTACACCTTACATGCATTCTAGAGCTCGGCTCTATCACATCACCATGCATTAAGGTCCAATTCTCAAGCAACCCTATGCCTAGAATTGACATATCATTAAACTACCATGGGTCATCCTTAAAGACTCCCCATAACTTAACCTTAGTTCCATACTAAGTTATCATATACACTTGAACTACATTCAAGTACCTTTCATACAATCCAATCCCTAGGATCAATTTAATCAACAAGTTCCAATAATCACTAACTAGTATTCCAATACTATTAAGATTATTGTTATCGTACCATTATCCTCATTGTTTGTAATTCTCTACATATTTATAATTATGTAGCAGCAACTTAAGTATTCAATTTCAATACACAAATATTCATTTATGTATCCACATAATTCATACATGAGCAAAATGCCCATTTTCACAAAATAGTTCATTTATACTCATTTAATCTCATATTATTCATACTTTCTCAAATCATTCCAAATTCATTCTTTGGCAACTATATCAATATTTCATCAATATATAGTCATCATAATCCATGAAAAATCATGATTTAAGCATTTAGGTAATCTCATGCTTAACCTACAAGTTGTAAGCAATTAGATGTCAATCCTCACCTCAATTGAGCTTTAAACTTTCCCTTCTTGGTTCAATGGTCAAAGCTTCGGTCAAGGTGGATTTGGAACTGATTCCTTGCTCAAATATGAGTGTTAAACAGCCTCTTCAAGGTGCTAGCTCAACCTCTAAACGTTGGTACGAAAACAGCCCCTAGAATGGGTGTTTTCCGGCTAACTCGTTTCCTAGTTTTCCAAGATTTGTTCTAGGTTAGTATCTAACCTTTACATCAATAAAATAACTTAATAGGGACATATTATACACTTGGAGTAGTGTATAATAGTTCCACCAATCGTTCATATCATTTGGAAAATGAATGGAAAAGTTTTGAGATTAACAACTCACTTAGATGAGTAAATCTGTCCCTGCGAGGTCGCGTTCTGCTCGGACGATTTGGAAGCCTTCCTCTACTCCGATTGATGCAAACCAGACCTTCACGGATTCCTCGTCTTGAGAGCTTTCTTTTGGTATCTCACACGCCTTGATTGGATTGGTAAAACTCGATATATCAACCAAACAGTCTCAGCACTCTCACAGCTCGAGTTCACAGACCACTGCTCGTTCCAGATCGATTTTTGGATGATTACTCTCTCTACTCGAACAAAGGCCACTCGATTGAGATACTAGACTTCACAGGCTATCCAAGGACACCTCACTCACCTTATTTGGTCAAGTATAACATCACACATGGAGGGAGACAACCAGCACCATCTTTTTGTGCGAAAATGGACTAGGTGGCCCCTCTTGGATGTCCTTCATGTCTTGTGCAGCTCCCCTTCATTTTTATCCGTCCATCCCTACTCCTAACACTTATTTTCTTTTGTCTTGCAGGTGTCAATGTGTATGGGACGCACCCCTATTGATCCCAATAGATTTGGGGTCCAAAATATCTATCAATACTTCCAAAAAATGAAAAGATGGACCCTATTGTTTTATCTTTGTCAAAAGATGTCTTTTTTTGTACTCATTCCAATTTATTTAGAGCAAGTCAACTTCCTAAATCACATTATTGATCTCCAATATGTGTAGGCTCATCCCAATAATTTACATGATGAAAATTACAAAAGAATGCGGGTTTGAACAATACAATATTCAATCACGTACTTCGTAAAATATTAATCGTTTCTTCCATTGCTTTGAAATCGGAAATTCAATACATCACTTTTGAATTTTTAAATCGAATTTTCAAGGGCGTTCGGGTGCGGTGTCACATTCGGTCCTCAGCTGCCCGAACCACTCCTGCGCCGGGCCCCTCAGGGTGCTAAAGAAAAGCCGGCAGATGGCCTCATCGGATGCTCCCAGCATGGAGAGGTTCCCCTAGAAGCTGATCAAGTGAGCCTTGGGATCTCCGGTCCCATTGTATACTATTCCTCCGGGGGGTCTGCAGTCCCGCGGGGTCTCTGCATTCATGACCCTCGGAGTAAATGGTGAGGTGAGGGAGAAACGAGGCGTAGCCGGGGTGGCCTCCGCCCGTCTGTCCATTTCGGCTATTCGCCGCTCCATTGCCTCTAGCCGGGCCTCCTGTGCGGCCCTTCCGGGGGACACAGGAGGGGCGGCCTCGAGCGCAATATTCCTTCGTGGGGCAACCGCGTCGGGTTGCCTTCGGGTAATATGGGCACCACGCCTTTGGAAACGTCGTCCAATATTACTGGCGGCAGGGGGTAACGGCTGTGCCCTGATGTTCTGAGGGAACGTCCGGCGTGCGCCCCCGGTGATCGTCCTGCCAGCCATAACGAGGGGTACTGGCGCTAGTGTGCCCCCCAGCCCCGTGGGAGGACGGATTGTGGCCCAACCTCGCGTGGACGGGCGTCCGACGCCCAGCAGATTCCGCTGTCTCATTCAGGGACTGCATGTGGTGGATGGGTGATATGGGCGTCCATATGGTGTTAGCCGAGTACACCTCTTCTTCCGCCTCCTGTTCGTCCGCCATTCGGCGCATTGTTTCCGCCAGCTCCCTCATGAGTCGGGGGCCGCGTCTGGCCTCGTGGGGGATGAGGTTGGTGAGGCCACCCTCACCCCCAGTAGTTCCCAACGTCTCGGAGTGTTCCGTGTTTTGCCCGCGGTTGCTTCGCCTGCGGGACAGCTGCTCGGAGAGGTCACGTTGTCGATTGTTCCTTGTCATCGTGCTTGCTGTGGGTAGATTAGTAGCTGTTTGGGAGAGTTTTGGAAACTTTTAGTTCAGTTTCCCACAGACGGCGCCAGTGTTGAGGTTTAATCCTTCAACCCTCGGGTCCAACACGTAAGCCCAAGGATTTCGAGTGGAATATGTGTGAGTAAACTAGCCCAACTAACAAATGGGATGAATCAAGAAACAACAAGGTAGCAAGTAAGTGATTAGGTATTATTATCTCTTAATAACTCCCTAATACAATACTTCTCTCTAGGGCTCGTCGGCCGATCGTCTTACAAGGCAGTAGAAGTGCTGCGAGTAAGAAATGCTATAGCTAGAGTGCTAAGAATAGAAAGTTGCCAACCCTTTACAATGAAATAAATGCTTCTATTTATACCCACCAATGGGCAAGTGGCTATACTGACGTGGAATCCTGTGGTTCGCTGGTGTCTCAACCACCAAATCTTCAGCATTAAATGCACTTCCCGCCAGAATCTAGGTTTCCCGCCTAATTAGTGGGGACGTTCGTCCGCTCGGGGAGCGAGCTGGATTGCTCCAGGTGGCCCCCAAGGGGTATTGGCCGTTCGTCCCCTGGCCCTTGTGGTTCTCACCATGTGGACTGGACTGCCTCCGATGGCTAGGGGCTTGCCCTGACGACGTTCGCCGTCATTCCGGTGACCCGTGGCCCTGCTCCTTGTCCCTGCATGGACGTTCGTCGAGATGGGCCGTTGAGCCTAAACCCCAACTGCAGACGTCCCTCCCTCCTGGAGGAACATGGGCTTGCCAGGCTAGCTGTGTGCTATCTGGACGTACGTCCAGAAGAAGGGGTAAATGGGCCGAACCTCAACTTGGGCCATTAACCCAACAATGAGATATATAAAAAACTTAATTCCAAGTGAGAATATCCTTAATTAGAAAGGTGAACATAAATTTGAGATAGCATCAAGACAAATTTGTATTCGGCAAATTTTAACACATACAATCTTGTTATTTTATTTTTTCCCAGATTCAATTTATGATGTTTCACTCTTTTTTCCATTTTAGGAATGATTTGGAAGTAATTAAAAAAAATTTAAACAATTTTATTGAAATGATTTGGGGGTGCTTAATAATTTTTATTCTCTTCTATTCCACTTTCATTTTCGTTTAGTACTTGTGGTTATTATATTGAATTAAATAATATTTCAAGAGTTATTTTTTTTCTTGTCATACAATAATGTCATCCTACCATTTCACCTTCTACATTATTACAGATTATGAATTCTTTTCTTTCACTCTACTTACTACAATCTTTCATCTTATTGAGTATTTTTGGGTTTCCTTTCACTTTAGCTTCAATTTTTTCATTTCACTTCCACATTCTTATACGGTAATCAGAATATAATCTTCACACTCTTATTTAAAGGGATTGTGCCAACTTCTGAGGATTCACCATTGCACACAGAATGTATATCTTCAAAGTGATAAAATCAACAAGTATGAAATGTAGTTTAATAAAATAGGAAGTTTGTAACATCTAAAATGGAGTTGGGCAATTTATAAATACTACGTACTTCGTATAATTTACTCCGTATGTACAATAGTGCAATATGGAAATGATGCTTCTCTCCACTAGCCGATTCTATTCTGATGTAGCTCCCCAAAAATTTTATGGAGCCCTATATGACTCCACTATGGAGTCATATAACACATGTGACATTATCACAATCATTTATTTCTATAGTGGATTTATAGTGGAGGACCCTACTTCATGAATGAATGATTGTGATGGTGCCACATGTGATATATGATGGGAGAAGGCCCAAAATTGACATTAAAGTTATTTAGGAAACTCAAATGAGACACTAACCTCTTAAATAGACCAAATTAACACAAGTTATACCTTTTTGCATCATATTTGGACACTGGTCAGGTTAGACTTAAATTAACAGGTTTTCACCGTCAATTATTAGGTTACCCACTTACCATCCCCTTCGCCCAAAACCTAAAGCCACTCCAGGTCCCATTTCTTCTCTGGCAGAACGCCAACTTCCCACACCCCATAGCGGCAACTCTTTGAAAACTCAAATCCGGCACATGCATATTCTTCTTCGCCTGAAACCATGTTTTAACTCAGGCGGACCTGCAAGACTTACCATTAATCCTCCCTGTCCGCCCAAAACCTTGTTCTGGCTCCGGCGGATCTCCAAGGCTCACGACTTGCACTCGCAATCGGAAATAGAAATGCAAACATTGGCAGGGGAGGAATTCATTGTCCACATTCCCGTTTGTGAATCATTTCCATTTCGTTGGCCTAGATTGGGGAGTTAATCCTTCTTGGCTAATTTTCTCAGCTCATACTATTTTAAACAACACGATCTGAAATTGGTGGTCAAGTTAGGGTTTTTCTTGATTTGGAGGAAAATAATGATTTTATTGGACTGAAAAATGAAATGAAATCAGATCCCAATTGGCTTAAGCGATAGGACAGTTGATATTAATATCACCCAAGTACTTTGAGAGTGGACATTTGAGAGTGGAGTGAAGCTGGGAATCAATTTGGATAACACTTAGAGCTTCTTCCAAGTACTGGATGCTGTTACACTTGTTGTCTTGTTATCCAGTGAGCTACGATTTTTTCATGAAAGGAGTTTTGGGTGGGGAAGGCTGAGACGAGGGTGGAAGAAGAAGGGTTAAGGGACCACTTGGAGGTCTCGACAAGGATGAGATCAAGATGTAGATTGAAGAATGAAAATAGAGGATGAAGGAAACTAAAGAAAGTGATGAGTTGGAAACGGGCTAAATGAACAGAAGAGAGTGTTTGTTTGACAATGGAGAAGTGAAATAGAGAAGCAAGGAGAGGAGTTTGAACCTGGAACCGGCCAAGCTGGTGAAAAAGTTAACATTGGAGTGTGGGGCTGTTAAAGTTGAATTTGACAGAATTATTAGAGTGGCCAAGTATACCCCAAATAAGTTGATTATGTGTTTATTTGGTCAGCTTAAAACCTTGGTGTCTAATGTGAACTTTGTAAATAACCATAGTGTCATTTTTGAACCTTATCCCTGTAGCTCCCACCGATTACTTTTGCAAATTACCGGACGAAATGCTGTCCGAACTACCGGATGAGATCACGACTCACCAAATCAGTACTTTCTCTTTAGTTATTGTCCTAGACAAGACTAATGAGTTCCTAAAAATAGAGCTGTCAAACAGTTCAATACGATCTAATTTGACTCAACTCGTGACGGGTTATGCTTTAGGTGGGTTGGATCGGGTCAACCCGTTTAGTTATGGGCCAGAATTTCTACGATTCTAATCCAATCCTCCTAACCCGTGGGTTAAACAGGTTGGCCCGTAGGCTAATGTACAAAAACATACTCTCTCGTCCCCCAATTAAGTTCCTGGTTTGACTGCACACATATTAAGAAAATAAATTTGACTTTATTGTGGAGTGCACTGTTTTGCGCTGTTTTGCACGTACTGTTTCAACACTGTTTGGACACTGTTTGACACTGTTAGACACTGTTTTGAAGTAGATTATTTGCCAAATAAGGAAAGTATTGAAGTGTGAACTTA